AGAAGATGGGTTAGCTGTATGTGCTGCACTGATGTGGCATGACCTAATGTTGCACTACACACAATGGGCCATGATGAACGTGGCCGTTTTTACTTGTTTCCACTGGCCGTGTCAACTCGGATTCGTTGCGCTACCAGCAGCACGATCAATAGAGAGCGAGAGAGAGAGCGAGAGAGAGAGTGCGAACATTGTGGGTGTCACACACGCACACACACAGTCTGTGCACTCGCTCAAGTCAAACAAATTGAAAATTTATCACCCGAAGATGATGACTTCTGGTGCCAAATCCAATGCATTTTTTACACTCCCGAAGAAAACTCAGCCAAGTGTCACAAAAGGGCGGGCGGTCGCTCGGTCGGTCGTTTGTCCGTGAAGCATTTGCAAATTGATTTCAACCGGCCGATGATGAGCCGAACTGTGCCAAAAAAAGAAAAACAACACAATATAAAAGTGTATCCAGAGCAAAGTCCATAGACTAACCGGCTGTATATCCAATTTCAAAGCGAATTCACACGCAAATGCCGACACGCGCCCCAGCAGAAGTCATTGGCCCGCTCCGATCGGGCCTTATCATGCAGTTATACATATATATATATATATATAGAGTGGAAAAGGGTTGCTTACTGCCAGTAAATCGCAAGAAAAAAAGCGCCGCAGGTTATGTTTTGCGCACAGTTCTTAACTTCAATTTCATTTCGCGCTGATCGATTTTTGCACGCAAAGTGTGAGGGAGTCTCTGCCCGCCGCAGCCTACTACACCCGCTTCTGCTGCTTTGCCGAGGGTATTATCACTTTGTCATGCCATGTGTTACATTTCGAAAGATGATGATTTCCTAAAGTGCATATATATGTATATGCTAGTCGGACTGTGCTTCTCTTCCATGCGAACAGATATAGAGTTTCTCTGTCTGTTCGCCGCATCGAAGCACTATATCATATATATGCCATAGGAAGGATCTATCGCAGAGTAGATTCCTGTATGGAATACTTGATTGTCTCCCAAGTTCAAGCTACTTAAGCTATGCCAAATCCTATCCATATCTCTTAACTATATTATATAGATCTATAGGAAGAATCGGTCGGGTCAAAATGGTTTTATTCATGACAAGTCATACTGTTTGCCAAGACAAGGGTATTCAAATTTCGACGTACTTTCGTGCTGCTTCTTATTTTATTTTTTTTTTTAACATTTCGTAGTTAGCCATTGAATTTATTATTGAAGCCAATCGCAATATTTTATTGTTTGGCCAGGCAAACAAGCTAACTTCTGCACCTCAATTCGCAGCGCTCTGTTCGAACGAAGTTAAGAAAAGTTGAAGCCGAAGCCGAAGCCGAAATATTCAGCTGGTGCATTGGCTGGTGTCGGTCAGCGTTATCAGGCTCGGCTCCACCTACAAAGCGCCCATGGCTACCGACCTGACGTGGATCGTATCGATGCGCAACAACAACAACTCTTGGCGGGGCTGAGCTGAGGGGCTGGCGAGGCTCCGGCGAGGGGCTGGAGAGGGTTTTGGGTGGATCATTTCACATGCAAAACAATAATCAAATGCCGACCGGCCATTCCATTTAAAACGTGTTAAACAGCCAGCTCCGCAGCGAGCCGTGCGTTTGCAACAATAAGAGAAGACCGCCCGCACCACCTCCCGCCCTCCTCAGGCCAACGTCCCCTACGCTGTACACACGCCTACACTGTGCAACGCCCAGGCTTATTTGATTTTAGACGCGTTCATCGCAAGCCCAACGGCCATTTAGCTCTTTGGCCTGGCGATTGGCGATTGTGTTTCTGGATTTCGGTTTGCGTTCTGAATTTATGATGTGATTTCGATCATTTGACATAATCTATTTAGCGTACACGCATTGCAGCGTGCCGCCTGCCTGCCACACCAAAGCAAGCTGGTCAACTCCACGGCAAGTTGCTGGGCAATCGGGCTGGCAACGTGCTCTGCCTGCCATTGGCGGGCATAATTTGTAATGAGATAATTTTATTTGCTTTGCGCACTCGTTGCTTGCATCCTCCAAAGTCCTCCAAAGTTGATGTCCGACCTCCTGCGGCACGCTGTGTCTGTGTCTGTGTCTGTGCGTGCGGCATTGCTGTTTAGTGCATCGCATGCGAATGATATAGAAGCTATCATAACTCTAAGCGATTGCCAGAGTTAAGTAATTTTTAACAGACATAATTGAATTCTAGTGTTAAATACTCTATGTTGTTTATAGGGTATGCTCAGACGATCCCTGTAAATCAAACCAAAATATTGAGTATGGGTTACGTTTGCTTACAGCTTAAGATTGCTTGGAAATTGTTTAAAAATTGATTAATTTAATGTAGTCCAGTTGAGCCAAATATTTATAATATTATCGATAAATATCGATTTTGAGATATGCTTATCTCAGCACAACTCGAGAATTCTAAATGTAAGATTGCTTGCAAATTGTTTAAAAGCCTACAAATTAAACAGAATTTATATTCCAGTTGAGCTTAAACAACATTTACAATATTATCGATAAATATCGATAAATATCGATTTGGATATATGCTATCCTAAGCACAACTCGAGAATTCTAAATGCTAGCTGCACCAAACTTGCTGTGTATAGGTTCTGTTATAGTCTAGACATTTTCAAAATTATTCACCTTTTGGAATACCTTTGCCGAGAAGCTAAGGAGCTTGTTCTTATAGCTTGATCCTTGCACGTGAGCATGTGTGATTTGATCTCAGACCCTTAAAGAGCTAGATATTTGAATGTGGGTTCTACTTGTGGCCGCGCAGTGCGAGTTTGTTGCCGATAGACGATAATCGATTGCCCCGTTTCCAAGCAATCGATAAGGAATCGATATCGAAATCATTTTTATTGAGCAAATCTCTTGGGTTTTAAGAGCTAGAGTCATCAAATTTGACGGTTAGCTTCTAGAATAGTTTATACAAATAAATTATCTTTCATTTTATAGCTACCCTTCCCCTACCACAACATGAACTGAATGTCCAGGGTATCCTCTAGTCGTGCACTTCCGACTAGACTTGTTTCTTTCTCTTTGCCAAATAAAAATCACCTTTGGAACGAAATTGGCTCTGCATACTGTCTGTCAACTGTTTGCGTCAGCGGCACATGTCGATCAATTAAATTTGCAATTGAATCAAACCTAACCTCAAATGAAAATTAAACAGAAATATGATATATCTATCATTATTTTTATCATAATCATTCGAATCGTGTTGCTTGGGATCATACGTTACAGTTTTTGTTGTTTTTGTCTTGATACATATATAAGAATTGTTGTTTTGTGTTTTGTTTTCCTTATTGTTTATCAAGTTCCATGTTTAGATTTGACTTGCGCCCATTTTTATATATCTCTCTATTGATAGGCACCATATCTCAAGTACGCATTTTATATTAATAGAATTAACTAAAGTCTTACTTTTTTCATACATTTTTGGTTAAGAGAAACGAGTCATGGCCCCTAGAGGGCCCGACTAAGGGATACCCTAAGCTAGGGAAGCTATAGATGCTTGATCTGTATATATATTATTCTATGTTAGCTGTGGCTCTTGAGACCCAAGAGACGGGCAGACAGACGGACTTGGTAAGCTCGACTCGGTCATTGATGCTGTTACATACATTTGCACGCAGCCAGTATACCCTTTATCGCATTTTCAAGGAGTTTAGGGTATACAAAAAGAGATAATAAAACTATTTTACAAACATCTAATAGTTTAGACCTTAAGGGGTTTGGCGCAATGCCAGCGATATGATTAAAGTCTGATAAGTTTGCCATCAGAGCAAAGTTTAAGCACTTTCCTATTCGATTACCAAATGTTGTGCTCTTTATAAGGGAAACTTAGCTATGTGGGAACAGTTGACATCGGCTTCATATGCTTCGGCTTAACACACAATATAAAATATATATCTATATATATTTGGTTTTTATTTGATATTTTACATACCCTGTCGAAACGATATCTAGAAAAATGATATAAAAAAACTTTAGTTGGGTTTTTTTGCCCGATTCGAAAGTTATTGCTTTCCTAAACAAAAAAATATAAAATTACAGGGTATTTGCTAGTCAGGCGTTTGCGATAATGGGGTTTTCTTGGAATTTCTTTAACAGATTCATATAAAAAAACAAACAAAATCAGAAATAAAATCAAATTATTTGCGATTAGAAAGGAAGGAGGAACAAAATTAAAGAGTTTGTCTTTCATACAATAAATTAATATATATAATATATAGAAGGTGCACTTGTACGATACCCTGTAATCGGTAATAACAGCAACGCAATTAACTGATATAAACGAAAACACATGTAATTTTTACATATGTGTAGATAACACTTGCAGCACGAGGCTTTGTGTAAACACGCCATGAATTCCAATATGTTTAGCGAATCGAGCAAACACTTACAGCGTATCTGATAGTCGCGCCTATTAGTTAATCTAGCACTTTGTTTATTTAGCACAACGCGTTGCAATATTCAAAGAAAAACGCAACGCTTTGAAGTCCATCGAGCTCTTAAGACTTCAGACTGGGTAATTATAACAAAGCCTTTAAAGCCTTCAATGGGCTCGTTCCGATAACTAAAGAACTTGGCGAGAGACTAACAAGTGCAAGGCGCATAGTTTAGTTAAGAGAGCAGCCCATTTTAACTAATTATTGACAGCTTGAACAGAAAGATTTTGGGCAGAAATCAAATGAAGTACATAACTTAAACTACAAAAGTATCGATTGTCTACTTGAATTTCCCAAAAGTCTGCTGAGCTTAATTTTTTGATGACGTGCAGACCAGAAACTATATATAGACATGTATATATATGTTTTTTGTGTCGATAAGCGTGCAATCGAAATCGTTAAGGATTATATATATATATATATGCACCTTATCTCTGGCAGATCTGCTGTGATTTGATTGAGTTGCACGAGTTGCGCCTAGGCCAATATTGATAACAGATTTGGTATAAATATCAGCTCGAGCAGCGCTTAACAATTAGTCGAACTCAAGTAGACAACTTTTGAGAATATGTTAAAAGCTATCACAGTACTCGCTGTAGTCCTGGCCCTGGCCAGCGCCGAGCTGCACCATGTGCCGATCTACAAGCACGAGAACTTTGTCAAGACACGTGAGAATGTCAAGGCCGAGGTATCCTATCTGCGCGGCAAGTACAATCTGCCAAGCGCACGTAGCGCCAACGAGGAGGAGCTGTCCAACTCGATCAATATGGCCTACTATGGCGCCATCACGATTGGCACGCCTCCGCAGAGCTTTAAGGTGCTGTTCGATTCGGGCTCCTCGAACCTGTGGGTGCCGTCGAGCACATGCTGGTTCTTTGATGTGGCCTGCATGAACCACAACCAGTACGACCATGACAAATCCTCGACATATAAATCGAATGGCGAGAGCTTCTCGATTCAGTACGGTTCCGGCAGTCTGTCCGGGTTCCTTTCCACCGACACCGTCGATGTCAATGGGCTGGTGATCAAGAGCCAGACCTTTGCCGAGGCCACCTCTGAGCCGGGCACCAGCTTCAACAATGCCAAGTTCGATGGCATCCTGGGCATGGCCTATCAATCCCTTGCCGTGGACAACGTTGTCCCACCCTTCTACAACATGGTCTCTCAGGGCCTGGTCGATCAGTCTGTGTTCTCCTTCTATCTGGCACGCGACGGCACCTCCAGCCAGGGCGGTGAACTGATCTTTGGCGGCTCCGACTCCTCTCTGTACAGCGGCGACCTCACCTATGTGCCCATCTCCGAGCAGGGCTACTGGCAGTTCACCATGGCTGGCGCCAGCATTGACGGCCAGAGCTTGTGCGACAATTGCCAGGCTATTGCCGATACTGGCACCTCCCTACTGGTTGTGTCCGAAGCTGCCTACGACATCCTGAACAACGTGCTCAACGTTGACGAGAATGGTTTGGTGGACTGCTCCACTGTTGATAAGTTGCCGGTGCTCAATCTGAATATTGGTGGCGGCAAGTTCACCCTGGAGCCCGCTCAATACATCATCCAGTCCGATGGCGAGTGCCAGTCCAGCTTCGAGTATATGGGCACCGATTTCTGGATCTTGGGCGATGTCTTCATTGGAAAATACTACACCGAGTTCGATTTGGGCAACAATCGCATTGGCTTTGCGCCCGTTGCCTAAGAATTCAAATAAACGAATCGAATTAATGCAAATCATTTTGTGGCATTCATTCCTGTACATTAGATGAGTTGAGATGAGATGAGGATGAAATTACCATTCACTTAGTAATTAATGGAATAATAAGTTTCGAGCCTTGTTTGGGGAGAATCTCAGGCTCAGCTTAGGTCTAAGCAAGTGTCCATTTGTGAGGGTTGGCTTTCGTTTAATCAGAAATTGGCTGAGGTCAAAAGCCTGAAGATCTGCTTTCGCTGTTTCGGAGCACTGTTTCTTTTAGAAATCAAAATGCGATTGATTTCTATATGAGATTATGGGTTCGGGCGAGATATATGTGAATCAATGAGAATTTTCCTGGGCTGCCTCTATATAAGATACTTAAAGAGTGGAATCCATAATAAATAACATGATATATGCATATATTCATAAATTTGTCCTTCTTTCAATAGATTTTATGTATATTTCAGTCTCTAGGAGGCATCGAATGTATATGAACTATATATTGTTTGTTGATTTTGTCGAAACTTTCAATGTTTTCAAATTAAAGATTGAGATACGCACTTCGAGACAGTTTGTCAAATATTTTATAAACTATCTTGAAACTATATATAGATATATACTATGAAAATAGATTTATATACTTTCTTTGAAAGATTCCAAAGGATTGTGATTAAGTATCTTATAATTCGCAACTGGTTTAAGCACAGTTTGTTTAGAATAAGTACTTCACGTGACTATAATCTTAATTTTCCTATTTAACATTATATGGGGCACGATCTTTAGCTACTTCCGAGAGATCTATTCGATTCTTTGCAAATATTTGGTCTTCTTAGTATGCTTGACCAAAAAATTATAATATATATATTATCGTTTGTTTGTCCATTCATTCTTTTTATTAGCTTATTTGTTGTTACTTTGCTTGAGGAACTTAATCTAGCTGTACAATAAGAAGTTTTACATAAATAGCTTTAATTATAAGGTCTTAGACGTTGTTTTTACAATAAATTATATGTATCCAAGTACCCGGCTTGGTAGATCGATAAGATGGATGCTGCGAAGTTTACTTTGCTTTCTTTTGCAAAGCCTGCTTGCCAATAGATCAGAGAGGAACCTTAAGGAACCTTAGGGAACCTTAAGGAACCTTAGGGAACCTTAAGGAATCTTAGGGAACCTTAAGGAACCTTCAGATACCCTGCCAGGGCCGGGATGTTTGCGGATGCACCAAGGTGCCCCAGTACTTAGTCTGGAACCCTTGACTTGGAAGACGCAAAGTTTTCTCCAATGCGATTTTGTTGCTGTACCACAACGAAGTGTATAATTGCAGCGAATTCTTGTTGTTCAAAGGAAGCTTGCGTAAGCTTGCTATTTTATTTTTGGTCCGGTTCCGGTTCCGGTTCCGATTCTGGTAGACAAGATGTTATATATTCTTCGACTGTTCCATATGAACTCGACTTTCTCTTAAGCTAACGCAATGAAACTTTATACAAAAGTTGCTTTTAGCTGGAGACAGGGCATATTTACCAAAATTTCAAGATCGGAGCACTATATAATATAGACACGATCGTTCGCAAATTGAGTTGAATAAAAGATTTCTAAACTTTTCTGTTCATAGTTCGTAGTTTTGATAATTAAATTGGAATTCGCTGTTTTTCATAGTTTTTCATGTAAAAATGAAATGTTTTTTTTTTTTTTTGCCTTGAAAAGTCACAGACGATCGATTGCAAAGATCAGATTAGGCTGTCTTTAAATCGTTTGACATGTTTGGGAACCTCCCGCTGATTAGCCAAATACGTACACAGGTGCCAATAGGTTGTTTTGGCTAGCAATTGCTTTTGGGAGTTTTTCCAAATTCGAGTGTTACACAGATATCTTGCGATTATGTCGGCCATAACTAATGCCCACTTCAATCAGAATCGCCCTCTGCATCGAGTGCGATTGTCCAGCCAATCCCAGCTGGTAGATAATTGGGCAATCGACTTAACAATCTTATCTAGCGTAGATAGCCGCATTTGGTATAAATATCAGCCCGAGCAGCGCTTAACAATTAGTCGAACTTGAGTAGACAACCATTCAGAATATGTTAAAAGCAATCGCAGTACTCGCTGTGGTCCTGGCCCTGGCCAGCGCCGAGCTGCACCGTGTGCCCGTCCTGAAGCAGGAGAACTTCGTGAAGACTCGCGCCAATGTCAGGGCCGAGGTTTCCCATTTGCGTGCCAAGTATCGCCTGCCGACCGCACGTAGCGTCAACGAGGAGGATCTGTCCAACTCAATGAACATGGCCTACTATGGCGCCATCACGATTGGCACGCCCCCGCAGAGCTTTAAGGTGCTGTTCGATTCGGGCTCCTCGAACCTGTGGGTGCCCTCCAAGACCTGCTCCAGCTATGCCTGCGAGGTGCACAATCAGTATGACTCCGGCGCCTCCTCCACCTATCAGGCCAATGGCGAGAGCTTCTCCATTCAGTACGGCACCGGCAGCCTGTCCGGCATCCTGGCCACGGATATTGTGAATGTGAATGGCTTGTCTGTTGAGAGTCAGACCTTTGCCGAGGCCACCAATGAGCCGGGCACCAATTTCAACGATGCCAACTTCGACGGCATCCTGGGCATGGCCTATCAATCCCTTGCCGTGGACAACGTTGTCCCACCCTTCTACAACATGGTCTCTCAGGGCCTGGTCGATCAGTCTGTGTTCTCCTTCTATCTGGCACGCGACGGCACCTCCAGCCAGGGCGGTGAACTGATCTTTGGCGGCTCCGACTCCTCTCTGTACAGCGGCGACCTCACCTATGTGCCCATCTCCGAGCAGGGCTACTGGCAGTTCACCATGGCTGGCGCCAGCATTGACGGCCAGAGCTTGTGCGACAATTGCCAGGCTATTGCCGATACTGGCACCTCTCTAATTGTGGCACCCGCCAATGCCTACATGCAGCTCAACGAGATCCTCAATGTTGATGATGAGGGTCTGGTCGACTGCTCCAGCGTCAGCTCAATGCCTGTGATCACCTTCAACATTGGTGGCACCAACTTTGATCTGGAGCCCGCTCAATACATCATCCAGTCCGATGGCGAGTGCCAGTCCAGCTTCGAGTATATGGGCACCGATTTCTGGATCTTGGGCGATGTCTTCATTGGACAATACTACACCGAGTTCGATTTGGGCAACAATCGCATTGGCTTTGCGCCCGTGGCCTAAACAGAACAACCGGCCTCACCCTTCCCTTCTACCTTTACAAATAAAGTGATTTCATAGAGCATTATCTGGAGTTAGTATCAATTATGATCGAATCGCAATATTTCGCAATATTATTTTTCTTTTATTTTTATCAATTCTTTGGCTCGAACGGAACTATTTTGATTTCTATTGTTCGTAGTTGCATGTTTTATCGTTTCCACTATCTATTAGATAGTTGTATATTTTTATTTGCGAGCTACGGCACGTGTTTCGCAATGCCCTCAATTACCCTCAAATATTCTATATAGACATAACTCAAAATATCCCACTCCCATAACTCGGTCGAATCTCATCCGATTTTCACGAGGTTTAGTTTTTTTCTCATGGTTTGGGCTCTAGATCAATTTGGCATTTAAGTTTGGGGACCTTATTTTGGGTCCAAATTCATGTCAAATTTTACCCTGGACTTGGATCAATCCTCATGTAGACATGGGTCAAAATTTCCCATTCCCATAACTCGGTCAAATCTCATCCGATTTTCACGAGGTTTAGTTTTTTATTCATGGTTTGGGCTCTAGATCAATTTGACATTTAAGTTTGGGGACCTTATTTCTGGTCCAAATTCATGTCAAATTTTACCCTGGACTTGGATCAATCCTCATGTAGACATGGGTCAAAATTTCCCATACCCATAACTCGGTCAAATCTCATCCGATTTTCACGAGGTTTAGTTTTTTATTCATGGTTTGGGCTCTAGATCAATTTGACATTTAAGTTTGGGGACCTTATTTCTGGTCCAAATTCATGTCAAATTTTACCCTGGACTTGGATCAATCCTCATGTAGACATGGGTCAAAATTTCCCATTCCCATAACTCGGTCAAATCTCATCCGATTTTCACGAGGTTTAGTTTTTTATTCATGGTTTGGGCTCTAGATCAATTTGACATTTAAGTTTGGGGACCTTATTTCTGGTCCAAATTCATGTCAAATTTTACCCTGGACTTGGATCAATCCTCATGTAGACATGGGTCAAAATTTCCCATTCCCATAACTCGGTCAAATCTCATCCGATTTTCACGAGGTTTAGTTTTTTATTCATGGTTTGGGCTCTAGATCAATTTGACATTTAAGTTTGGGGACCTTATTTCTGGTCCAAATTCATGTCAAATTTTACCCTGGACTTGGATCAATCCTCATGTAGACATGGGTCAAAATTTCCCATTCCCATAACTCGGTCAAATCTCATCCGATTTTCACGAGGTTTAGTTTTTTATTCATGGTTTGGGCTCTAGATCAATTTGACATTTAAGTTTGGGGACCTTATTTTTGGTCCAAATTCATGTCAAATTTTACCCCGGACTTGGAATAATCCTCATGTAGACATGGGTCAAAATTTCCCATTCCCATAACTCGGTCAAATCTCATCCGATTTTCACGAGGTTTAGTTTTTTATTCATGGTTTGGGCTCTAGATCAAATTGACATTTAAGTTTGGGGACCTTATTTCTGGTCCAAATTCATGTCAAATTTTACCCTGGACTTGGATCAATCCTCATGTAGACATGGGTCAAAATTTCCCATACCCATAACTCGGTCAAATCTCATCCGATTTTCACGAGGTTTAGTTTTTTATTCATGGTTTGGGCTCTAGATCAATTTGGCATTTAAGTTTGGGGACCTTATTTTTGGTCCAAATTCATGTCAAATATTACCCTGGACTTGGAATAATCCTCATGTAGACATGGGTCAAAATTTGCCACTCCCATAACTCGGTCAAATTTCATCCGATTTTCACGAGGTTTAGTTTTTTATTCATGGTTTGGGCTCTAGATCAATTTGGCATTTAAGTTTGGGGACCTTATTTTTGGTCCAAATTCATGTTAAATTTTACCCTGGACTTGGAATAATCCTCATGTAGACATGGGTCAAAATTTCCCACTCCCATAACTCGGTCAAATTTCATCCGATTTTCACGAGGTTTAGTTTTTTATTCATGGTTTGGGCTCTAGATCAATTTGGCATTTAAGTTTGGGGACCTTATTTTTGGTCCAAATTCATGTCAAATATTACCCTGGACTTGGAATAATCCTCATGTAGACATGGGTCAAAATTTGCCACTCCCATAACTCGGTCAAATTTCATCCGATTTTCACGAGGTTTAGTTTTTTATTCATGGTTTGGGCTTTAGATCAATTTGGCATTAAAGTTTGGGGACCCTATTTCTGGTCCAAATTCATGTCAAATTTTACCCTGGACTTGGATCAATCCTCACCTAGACATAACTCAAAATTTCCCATAACCATAACTCGGTCAAATTTCATCCGATTTTCACGAGGTTTAGTTTTTTATTCATGGTTTGGGCTCTAGATCAATTTGACATTTAAGTTTGGGGACCTTATTTCTGGTCCAAATTCATGTCAAATTTTACCCTGGACTTGGATCAATCCTCACCTAGACATAACTCAAAATTTCCCATAACCATAACTCGGTCAAATCTCATCCGATTTTCACGAGGTTTAGTTTTTTATTCATGGCTTGGGCTCTAGATCAATTTGGGATTTAAGTTTGGGGATCTTATTTTTGGTCCAAATTCATGTCAAATTTTACCCTGGAGTTGGATCAACCTCATGTAGACATGGGTCAAAATTTCCCATACCCATAACTCGGTCAAATCTCATCCGATTTTCACGAGGTTTAGTTTTTTATTCATGGTTTGGGCTTTAGATCAATTTGGGATTTAAGTTTGGGGATCTTATTTTTGGTCCAAATTCATGTCAAATTTTACCCTGGACTTGGAATAATCCTCATGTAGACATGGGTCAAAATTTCCCATTCCCATAACTCGGTCAAATTTCATCCGATTTTCACGAGGTTTAGTTTTTTATTCATGGTTTGGGCTCTAGATCAATTTGGCATTTAAGTTTGGGGACCTTATTTTTGGTCCAAATTCATGTCAAATTTTACCCTGGACTTGGATCAATCCTCATGTAGACATGGGTCAAAATTTCCCATTCCCATAACTCGGTCAAATCTCATCCGATTTTCACGAGGTTTAGTTTTTTATTCATGGTTTGGGCTCTAGATCAATTTGGCATTTAAGTTTGGGGACCTTATTTTTGGTCCAAATTCATGTCAAATTTTACCCTGGACTTGGATCAATCCTCATGTAGACATGGGTCAAAATTTCCCATACCCATAACTCGGTCAAATCTCATCCGATTTTCACGAGGTTTAGTTTTTTATTCATGGTTTGGGCTCTAGATCAATTTGGCATTAAAGTTTGGGGACCTTATTTCTGGTCCAAATTCATGTCAAATTTTACCCTGGACTTGGATCAATCCTCATGTAGACCTGGGTCAAAATTTCCCATTCCCATAACTCGGTCAAATCTCATCCGATTTTCACGAGGTTTAGCTTTTTATTCATGGTTTGGGCTCTAGATCAATTTGGCATTTAAGTTTGGGGACCTTATTTTTGGTCCAAATTCATGTCAAATTTTACCCTGGACTTGGAATAATCCTCATGTAGACATGGGTCAAAATTTCCCATTCCCATAACTCGGTCAAATTTCATCCGATTTTCACGAGGTTTAGTTTTTTATTCATGGGTTGGGCTCTAGATCAATTTGGCATTTAAGTTTGGGGACCTTATTTTTGGTCCAAATTCATGTCAAATTTTACCCTGGACTTGGATCAATCCTCATGTAGATATGGGTCAAAATTTCCCATTCCCATAACTCGGTCAAATCTCATCCGATTTTCACGAGGTTTAGTTTTTTATACATGGTTTGGGCTCTAGATCAATTTGGCATTTAAGTTTGGGGACCTTATTTTTGGTCCAAATTCATGTCAAATTTTACCCTGGACTTGGATCAATCCTCATGTAGACATGGGTCAAAATTTGCCACTCCCATAACTCGGTCAAATTTCATCCGATTTTCACGAGGTTTAGTTTTTTATTCATGGTTTGGGCTCTAGATCAATTTGGCATTTAAGTTTGGGGACCTTATTTTTGGTCCAAATTCATGTCAAATTTTACCCTGGACTTGGATCAATCCTCATGTAGACATGGGTCAAAATTTCCCATTCCCATAACTCGGTCAAATCTCATCCGATTTTCACGAGGTTTAGTTTTTTATTCATGGTTTGGGCTCTAGATCAATTTGGCATTTAAGTTTGGGGACCTTATTTTTGGTCCAAATTCATGTCAAATTTTACCCTGGACTTGGAATAATCCTCATGTAGACATGGGTCAAAATTTCCCACTCCCATAACTCGGTCAAATTTCATCCGATTTTCACGAGGTTTAGTTTTTTATTCATGGTTTGGGCTCTAGATCAATTTGGCATTTAAGTTTGGGGACCTTATTTTTGGTCCAAATTCATGTCAAATATTACCCTGGACTTGGAATAATCCTCATGTAGACATGGGTCAAAATTTGCCACTCCCATAACTCGGTCAAATCTCATCCGATTTTCACGAGGTTTAGTTTTTTATTCATGGTTTGGGCTTTAGATCAATTTGGGATTTAAGTTTGGGGACCTTATTTTTGGTCCAAATTCATGTCAAATTTTACCCTGGACTTGGATCAATCCTCATGTAGACATGGGTCAAAATTTCCCATACCCATAACTCGGTCAAATCTCATCCGATTTTCACGAGGTTTAGTTTTTTATTCATGGTTTGGGCTCTAGATCAATTTGGCATTAAAGTTTGGGGACCTTATTTCTGGTCCAAATTCATGTCAAATTTTACCCTGGACTTGGATCAATCCTCATGTAGACCTGGGTCAAAATTTCCCATTCCCATAACTCGGTCAAATCTCATCCGATTTTCACGAGGTTTAGCTTTTTATTCATGGTTTGGGCTCTAGATCAATTTGGCATTTAAGTTTGGGGACCTTATTTTTGGTCCAAATTCATGTCAAATTTTACCCTGGACTTGGAATAATCCTCATGTAGACATGGGTCAAAATTTCCCATTCCCATAACTCGGTCAAATTTCATCCGATTTTCACGAGGTTTAGTTTTTTATTCATGGGTTGGGCTCTAGATCAATTTGGCATTTAAG